ACAGACTGACAGACAGACAGACACACAGACAGATAGACAGACAGACAGATAGACAGGATAACAGACAAACAAACAGGTAGGCAGACAAGCAAACAGAAAGACAGACAGACAGACAGACAGACAGACAGACAGACAGCCCATCCTCACCCTGTATGATAGCCAGCAGAATGACGATGACGAAGAAGAAGAAGGTGATGTCAAAGAGGATTCTGTACACCTCCTTGTTGTCCCCGTCCGCCGGCTCGATCTCATCACCTGTACCAGACACACACACACACGGAAAACTCGACATTTAGAAGACATTCCATCTAACTACCTACTGAAACGACGAGAAACACTACGTTTAGATGACAGTTGACTACATATAGAAGACAGAAACAGCGTTATTTAGAGCACATCTAGAAGAAAGGAAAAACTGGGTTTAGAAAAAAGTAAAAAAGTCTAGATTTAGAAGACTTTAATACTATAATATTTAGAACATATTAAAGCCAATATTTATATTATTGAGAAGACGCTAAAGTCTATATTATTTAGAAGACATTAAAAACTAGTATTTCGAAGACGTAAAAATCTATATTGCAAACTTACCATAGACTATTTGTATTTGAGAGTCAGAACTTTTCTGTACATTATGTATTTCTGAAAGTGTTTAACATGTGTGTCAATCCTGCCACATTTCCTACATAGGATCGATACAACTGGAATTGTGTTGAAATGTTTATTTTATAGCTTTGTTTCTTTTATGGTCGAGCCATTATTTTTAAAAAAAATACAATCACGGGAAATTTTGACAATATAGGACAAACCTTTTGTGCATGAAAATCACACGTTATGATGTTTGCTATGCATGGACTCATGCATTAATAATAACCATAACAGACTCATGCATTAATAATAACCATAACAGGCTTGAGGCTCAGCAGACTAGGAGAAAGAAGAAGACCCACTGCATTCATCGACAGAACAAACCCCTTTTAAAAAAGAAAGTAAAACATAATTTTTGAAAGTGTATCAGAGTTTGCTAAAGTGATGCATCACTATCTGTTTTACAATACATATTAAGCCTCCCCCCTCCCCATCTCTCTACACCCCCCCTCTACCC